CTCCCGAGTCCCATGCTTCTGGGCCAGACGCCTCGGGACTACAAAGCCCATCCGCCCGCCACCCGTCTACCAGGGGTGGGTGTGGGGGTCCTGCACCTCCCATGCAGCGAGAGGGGAAGGGCTGCAGACGGCTGGAAGAAACTGGGCAGGGGAGGATGGGTCTGGGAGTCCAGCCCAGCCCGGGGGCGACCGGTTGGGGGAATCGGACCCTGGAAGGCTTCGCAGCCCCGCCCCCCCGCTCTTCTCCCAGCCAATCCCCGCCCGCGTCCACCCTGGAAGGATTCGTAGCCCCGCCCCCCGCTCTTCTCCCGGCCAATCCCCGCCCGCGTCCACCCTGGCCACGCCCCCTCCCCGCGCTCCGCCGCCGCCGACCTCCGTGAAGCCCCCGTAGGTGGTCTGGTAGAACTCGTCCTCCTCCTCCGCCACCAGCAGCCCCGAGAGCCGGTTGCCCGCCGTCCGTCGCGGCGCCCGCCCGCCGGCCAGGCCCGCCGCAGAAGCGGAAGCCGACGAGGCCGCCGCTCCCGCCATGGCCGCCATCGCGCCTCCCGATCGATGCGCTCGGCTCGCCACTGCGGCGCCTGCGGGGAAGGCCGCGCCGAGCCGGGCGGCCAGGCGCGATAAGTCGAGCGCCGATGCGGCGAGCGGGGAAGGAGCCAGGCGAGCGCCCATGGAGGCGGGGGGCGCCCTGGCCGCGCCCGGGCCTCTTTTAACGGGGGCGCGGGGGCTCCCCGGATTGGCTCCCCGGGAAAGAGGGGAAAGGCTTTGCGAGGTAGACTGCTGCTGGCCGTGGAGGCTCCATTTGCCTCCTGGGCGGCTTTATTCGGCTGGGGCTGCGGCTCCCCCTATTGGCGCGGCGGGGGCGTTGCAGGCGCTGCTGGGGATTTCAACCCATCAATCAGAATAGAGCTGGAAGGGACTTTGGAGGTCCTCCAGTCCAGCCCCCTGCTCGATTTGCAAGGATTAAACGCTAATAATAATAATAATCATCATCATCATCCCAGGTCCTTGGGAAGGACTCGATAGGTAGACAAAAATGCCAAATCCAGTCTGAACATCTGGCTGACTGTGCGATGATCCATAATAATAATAATAATAATAATAATAATAATAATAATAATAATAATAATAATAATAATAATAAATCCTGCGCTTGTTTTGTGGGGGTGGTTGGATTTCTTTTGTGGGCTGCTTTCGGCCCGTTTCCCCAAAGATGGAATAAAAGGAATTTATTGTAGGGATCTGCAAATAAATCATTCTGAGATCCGACGTCACCCCGGCCTGGCTCGTGACGTTATAGAGGCGGGTAGAGAACGTTGGCGGCGTTGCTAAGGCGACGGGCGTGCCTGCGACGTCAGGGCCACGCAGGACTCCCCCTCCCGTTCGGAAGGAGCACGCTCTGTGATGCGGGGGAGGCCGCGCCCACTGCAACGTTGATGCGGCCATCCACGACCCTCTGCTTTCTGCGCCTGCGCGGCACCGATTTCCCCGCCCCTTTCCTGACGGTCCGCTTTCCGTTAGAATAAACAAGGCGGCGCTGCCTCTTTTTCTGCCCTCCCCCCGCCGGCGCAAAGTGGTTTCTCCCGACGCCTGCCGGGCGGGCCCATTCCGGGAAGCCGGGGGAGGGGAGGAAGCACTTGCGGGGGGCGACCGGGAGGAGGCGTGGCCACCCCTCCGGAGGCGAGCGTGGCACGGCCCACAGCGGCGGCCGGAGCGAGGCGGGCGAGACCAACGGGGCGCCGCGGGGGGAGGCGAGAGGACAAGCGGGGCGAGGAGGCGCAGCGGCGGGAGAAGCGCTAAGATGGCGTCGGCCGGGCCCGAATCCGGGGGGAGCAGCAGCAGCAGCAGCGGAGCCGCCACGGGTAAGGGTCCCGGGGGGGGGGGCAGGACGTGACCCCGGGGGGCGGAGGGGCCTTCCCGTCCCTCGCATTGGCCCCCCCGCCCGCCCCCTCCTGAAATGGGGGGGTCGAGGGCAGCCCCCATTGAGTCTGGGGTCCGGGCAGGGCGAGGGGCAGCGCTGGGGCGGGGAGGNGACCCTCTTTCTGCAGGGCAGCTGTTGCCATGGGGATGTGGGGGGGCTCTCTGGGGCCTTGGGGGGGACCCTCCTGCCTCTCCTCTCCCGTCTTCCCCTTCCCAGGTGGGCTGGCAGGATCCCATTGACGCCCCACCTAGGAGCCCCCACGGGGAGGGGGCCGAAGCGCCCCCCACCCAGGAGCTTTTCCTGAGTCCCCAGGTGTGTTGGGGGGAAGCTTTGGGGGGGTGGCTAGAACAGCTGGCAACCCCCAACTCTTCTTCAGCCCCCTCCCCAATTGGCTCCCCAGGGTCTCCCTGGCTCAGGATGGAAACCGCATCTCTGTTTTCTGGCAAATATTTACTGGCTCATTTCCAGCATGAAAAGTTGGCCCCACGGATGGTTGCCAGGCATCGTCTCGATCCATACGGGTCATTTGGTTCAAGCTGATCTCTTTTCCCGCTAATTTGGGGCTCTGAACTGCAGAGCTGAAATAAAGCCAATTAATTGTTCCTTAGAAGTCATGAATTATATACAGTTCTGCTTCCCCTCCCCCCCCCTTCATCCCCAGCTGGAGACCTGATAAGAAAGCAGATGGGGTTTCCTGACTCAGCAACCAAACTAGAAGCAAGCTTTTTCTTAAAAAAAAAAAAAAAAGAGTAATGCATTAACGGGAAAGGCAATTTGCTGGTGAAACTGGTACCTTGATTCTTACGTGTCTCACGGTTGTGTCAAACAATAAAATCCTAACCGTGCCGTGAAAAGTTGGAATACGCTATGATGCCTTTGCCAGGCAAAAATCTTGATTTTTTTTCTGTGTTGTGGGTATAGGTTGCTTTTTTCTACTGTCGCCTCTAACACCAGGGGGTTTCCTTTCTGAGGGACTCTGGTTCCCACGATGCTTGAACCTGTTAGAAGAGCGATTGGGGTAGCTTCTGAAGATTAGGGCATCCGCCCCAAAGGGGACCCCCTTTCTTTTTCAGCAGAAATCCTGCTTATTCCGCCTCCTCCCTTACCGCTGCTCCCCTTGAGGGCAGCCAAAATCTTCAGTGGTGAAATAAGCTATTTTAGGCCTTGCCTTTTAAAAATAGGCCTCGATTCTTCCTGCAGCAAGGCTGGTCTTTGGAACTGAAGCTTAGCTCTGAATTTGGCCCTTTTTTCCCTCCAAAGAAGACACATTCACTTTCTCTTTTGAGTCTCAAGTGGCTTGGCTGCAGCTCCAGCATCGTGGAGCTGATTGTCTCCTAATATTCCTGTACAATCTCAGTTGTTCTTCAAGCAGTGGGGAAATTCAGCCTTGGTTTAGGGAAGGAAAAAGGGGTGCCTTTGAGAGTCTGTTTCTCATCCGAGGGAGATTTGGCCAAAAAAAAGGGCTTATTTGAGGGCAGCAATTTCCCCTTTTCCCCCCAATTTTTTCCCCTTATTCTTGGGCCCAAGGTTCTAGTCTGTCTGAAGCAGGACCCATGTTCCTTTCCAGGCTTCGTACAGGGGGAAGATGTTGGCTTTTCACAGAGAGAGGTGTTGTCCTATGCCAGTGATGGCGAACCTTTTAGAGACCGAGTGCCCAAACTGCAACCCAAAACCCACTTATGCATCGTCGAGTGCGGGGTGGGTGTGGCCCATTGGGTGGGTGTGGCTGCGGTGGTAATGGCAGACTGGGTGGGACTAAAAAGTTCAATCAATCAATTTCAACTTTGCAAGATCTTTTTTTTTTCCTGCGAGAAGTTGAAATTGACTGATTGAAAGTTGTTGTTTTTTTGCACACGGCGGCAGAGGCCTAAAGCGAAAAGGTTTTATAAAACCCAGCTGAAGGCCTAGGACTGGGGCAACGGTGCGGGTGCCCACAGAGAGGGCTCTGAGTGCCACCTCTGGCACCCATGCCATAGGTTCGCCACCACTGTCCTATGCAGAGCAGTGTTCAAACTGGCCTCCCGAACGGGGAAGCCGAGCAAGCAGAGGTCCAAAGCGGCAGAGCTGACTTTGCAAAAAAAATTTCTCCCAGCGCCCGAAATCTGCCTCCGTAAGCCGGCTTCTCTGCCTGCAGTGTTCTTCAGATGTATTCTGGCTTCCCTTTCTGACTTCAGGGGAAGCCGCTCTAAATCTGTGCTGTCAACATGGGAGGAGACCGTTCTGGCCGGGGCAGTTTCCTTTCCTGGAAATCCAAGCGGCTGTTTTCAGGATGCTCAGCCCCAGAGAGACGTGTTTAATTAGGAGCAGCGGTTAAAAGGTGGCTTTCCAAAGAGGGTGAAAAGCAGCCCTTTCATTAGGCTGGTCTGTGACCATAATAAAAATTGGGCTTGGCAGCCCTTTCACCGAGCGGAGAAGCTGGTTCTTTTGGAAAGGGAGTGTCAGCCCGGCGCTGTGAGAACTCGGGTTGCCAGGTTTTCATCACAGGAGTTGTTCAAAGGAGGGCGTTGCAGGCACGGTGGAGGTGGGGATAATTAGATGGGAAGGTGACAGAAAGTAAGTCTCTGCTGTTCAGCTTCCTGGGCTCTATAAAGGAGGATATTTGTAGCTCAGGGTCCTTGATGCTCTCTCAGTTTGATTGGGCTCTTGCAGCCCTTTCATGACCCAGCTAGCTAATGGCATCAGTGCTAGAAGGGAAGCGGGTTTGTGGAGAGGAGGTCAAGATGACTGTGGGGTCCCTGGTGCTCTCCGAGCTTCGTTCTTGCAGACGTCGTATGACCCAGATTAGGTAACAACATCAGTACCAGTGGGGTTTGCTGCAAATGCTCCTTCTAGCACTGATGTTGTCACCTAGCCGGGTCGTGAAACGTCTGCAAGAAAACAACCCAGCTCAGTGAGCACCAAGGACTCTCCTGGCCTCTTGGGATATTTTGCTTCTGGGGAGATGCAGAAGGAAGCTGAGGGAGGGGGGGCAGAGATGTGTGGGAAGGGCTGGTGCTCCTACTTGTAGGTGAACCCACCGCGACCCTCGCCCTTTGCGGTGGTTTTCATCGACAGCCTGCCTCCCCTTCCTTCCTCTCTTAACTGAACTTCGAGCCTTCGTGATCCCGACTGTCTGCTGAGCAAACTCTCTTTCCTTCCTGAAAAATTCTGTGGCTTCCCCTTTTCTCTCTCTCTCTCTCTCTCTCTCCTCTCCGCCAGCCTTTAGCTTCCTCTGTTGCTCCGTGATGCCCTCTCGAAGACGCAGATGTATGGGTAAAACCGAGGCCCGGCATGATCTTATTCCTCCTCTGCTAATCCGCCTGGCCCCTCATTGCCTGCGGTGGTGGTGTGGAAGTGATGCACTGGCTTTGGACACGAAGCAGCTGCTTCGCTCGCTTCCTCGCTTCCTCCCGGCCTTAAAGAGTCCCCCGGCTTCGCACTCAGGCCCCTTCTGGGTCAACTCCGTGGCTGGTCTCAGAAACGCTTGGCAGGGGACACCTATCCCCATTTTTAGAGATGGAAATCTGGAGGCTTCAAAGACTCCCAAGTCGTCTTTGGAGCAGTGAGACAATGTCCTTTTCCCCCAGGGTTTAGCCTCGCTGGCCCTTCTCGATGCAAGCTTGCTAGAGCTGTGGAATCAACCAGGATAGGAAAATGTGCAACTAATCCGGTTTCTCTCCCCCCCTCCTCCCCCCGAGTCAAACTTGGCTAATCCAGTGGCGGTTCAGCCGCTTCTCGCCGCAGATGTGCTGGCAACGCCGCCATCTTCTCCCTTTGAGCTTTTGCAAGTTCAGCGCATGGTCTGGCCGAGCTTCGCCTGCTTTTGCAGCACGTCTTCTTCCTGCGTGGCGCATCGGTCTGGCCAGGGCTTCTCCTGGTTCTTCTCCCAGTCCGACTGGAAGCGGCAGAGAAAAAAAAAAACGTCCCTCCGGAGTGTTTTGAGATGGGAGGCGTCAGATAGGGATGCCTGGGAGAAAATGGGGAGAAAGGGGTGTCCCTCTGCTAAATATTTCCCCCACATGTTGTAACACGACGGGTGAAGCACCACTCCTCCCCTCCCCCCGAGGGCCTGCAGAGTGCCCCCCCAGCCTCCCTCCCTCCCCACAAGTGGCCGCAGGGCGTCTGGCTGTGGACTGAATTCCGGACCCGAAGGAAGAGAACCAGTGCAAAGCCACGTCGCGTGAAGATTGTCCCTCAGCTCCGTTCTTAGGACGTTGTGTGGAACCCCGACTGTCAAGAGTCTGGGATTCTCAGCCGAGGGGCTCTTGAGGTCATCAAGCCCATCTGCTCCTGGCAGGAGCCCAGTCTCCTGCACGCCCTGCCCTCGCAGGCGTTTGTCAGCGGCTTTTGCAGATTTCCCGAAGCAGAGAGCAACACAGAAGAATTGCAAACCGGGTCGTCATCGTTTATCCAAATTATTATCGATGCCAACTCTGACAGACCTTCATTTTAATCAGCCTCGTCAAGGCTGGAAAATGAAGCTGGCTCCCCACCAATGCCCCCCTCCCCAGCCCCTCCAAAGGGCCAGTCAGGATCCCCTCCTCCAGCCAAGATTTTGCCTGCAACCTCAGCTTGGCTTGATGACACCTTTACCTTTCTTTGTTGTCAGGGTCCGCTGGGCTCACAGTGCTGCTGCGGCTGTCCTGGCCCACCAGAGGGCGCTGTTCCCCTGGCCCCTCTCCTAGAGCAGGGGGTCTCCAACCTGGGCCACGTTAGGACGTCTGGACTTCAACTCCCCTGCCGGCTGGGGGATTCTGGGAGTTGAAGTCCACAAGACCTAAAGTGGCCCAGGTTGGAGACCCCCTGCCCTAGCTTGGGCTGCCCACCGGGAAGGAGCTGAGCGAACGGGCGGCCACCTTGAGTGCCCAGGTCCACCCAGATGGGGTGTGTTCCCAGAGCAGAGGGGGCAGATCCTGGGGGCTGGCATTTGCCCACCTTGGCCAAAGACCCCCGGACGGCTCCCCGTGAAGAGCTGGCCTCTGCTGGCAGGCCTTCCTGCAGATCAGAGAGGGCTTTGTGTCGGTTGCAGGCCGCAGGAGTTTCCCCACGGCCAGGTCCACACCTTGTCCCGAGGCGCTAAGCCCTCGGCATCCGGGTGACTCAGCCCCGAGTGACGCGTGGGGCTCCCTTGGCAGAAAACCTGTGGGGCTTGGAGAATCTCTCTCTCTCTCTGGACCGGCAGGGGAAAGCAAGAGCAGACACCCATGTGAACAGAGGGACCCCTGGCCTTGGTTCATGGTGATCCCGCTCTTGAAGGGGGGCAGGAAGGCGTCGCTTCCCTTGCCCCCCACCCCCAGCCACCACCACCCCGAGGACCTTGACCGGGCTCAGCTTAATCTCTGCACTGGTTACCTGCCAGAGGTCTCACTCCCCCTTTCCCTTCCAGGGGCGCCAGGAGCAGCGACCTTCAAAAAGTCCTTGGAGGTGAGTTTGCATTAAATTAAAAAAAACAAAATATCCACCCAGGGCTGGTGCTGAGTCGGTGCCCTTCAGGAGCTGGGGGTGGGGGGGGGGTTTCGTGGCCTTGGGAAAGCTGAAGGGAGCAGCCTGGGATCGCAAGGCGACAATTGCACACCAACCTCCGGCACAAAACGCCGCCTTCTGACTTTGCCCCCTGTTGTAAACATGGAGGAAAACATCCCCGTGCGCAGGGAGAAGCTTGCAGAGGAAGGGACTGGCCCTGGAGGCTTCCCAGGCCTGGGGTGCTCCTGTCCCGGGCACACCCTCTTCTCCCTCCCTGAGGGGCAGGTGCTGCCCCCACCCTCTACCCCCCTCTGTTTTGGGGGCACCCGCTCCACCCTGCCCTGCCCGTGGGAGGATTGGAAACAGCCCTCTCCTCTCCTGCTCCCAGGTGCCAGGCTCCTCCGGGCACGGGTCCTCCCAGACGATCAAGAAGGGACACCGGGGCGTGGATTCCAGCGGAGAGACCACCTACAAGAAGGTAGGCAGGCGGGCGCTGGGGCTGGGCTGCTGCCTCTGCGGGCCTCTCCCCTCCCCTCCCTCCCCCAGCGGCCTCCTCCCCCTTGCATTCTCCAGCCTCTGAGTCACCAGCTCGGCATAAAAGGCCCAGGTGCACGGTGGTTTCAGAGGCAGGTTTCTACTGGCCGATTCAGGCAGAGCAGATCCCAGGGATCGGAAGGCCCCTTGGTCGGTGGCTGCCGCTCGGGATCTCGCTCGCTCGTGGACCCTTCGTCCTCTGGAGACTTTTTCTTGGGGTGCTTTGGACTCTCCAGACGGTGGCCGCTGGGCCCTCCGGGATTCCCTCGAAGGGCTTCTCTCCCCCTACCCAAAATGCGGGCCTGCTCTCCGGAGCGGACGTAGATTCCTCCTCCTCCTCCTCCTCCTCTTACCCTCCGTGCGGGGGATGCTCTGACGCTCCCCGGGTCCCAGGGGACTCGGATCTGGGCCGGGATGCTCCAGCTGGCTCTGAAATGGAGGTTAGCCGGGATGGGTCCTTTCGGAAGCCGCCTCTTTCCGTAAGTGGCCCCCTTGCTGGGCCCAGAGATAGGCCTGAGACTGTGGAGGTGGGGGGTGCTTGGGGACCCCAAAGATTGTGGGGGGGGGGAGAATGCCCAGGGGAGTTTGGAGCAGGCCTCCCCTGTTGTTTCTGTGGTCAACAGAACCAAGAAACAGTTGGCAGAATTGATCCTTGACAGGGATATCCTTCCTTCCTTCCTTCCTTCCTTCCTTCCGTCCTTCCTTTCTCTTCCTTCCTTCCTTCCTTCCTTCCTTCCTTCCTTCCTTCCTTCCTTCCTTCCTTCCTTCCTTCCTTCTGTTGTGTTTTCAGCCTTTTGTGGGCTCCTCCCTTGCCTGGAGTGTGTGCTTGGCCTGTTGTGGCAGCTGCTTTTCCTCCAGTGATGTGTTGCGCGTCATTTTTGCCCCCCGCTCCTGAAGCATGTCCCTCACATTGGGGGACAGCCTTCTTTCTAATGGGGTTCCTCATCCCTTCGGTGGGTGGCTGTTTGAGGGGGTCTCCGGAGCCCGGTCCCCGAGATCAGGACGATGTGGATGGGGAGGGAGCCCAGCTCACACTCCCCACTGCTCAGTGGTCTCCCGGGCCGGGAAGAGCTCTGCGGCACGTTTTGGCACCCAGCGCCTGTAGCTTGGCACAAGTCTCCACGCGTGCCACTGAACTGTGGGACCTCCCCCTCACCTCTCTGGGAAGGGCACCTATCTGGCATCCTTGGGGGGGAGAAGAAGCCAGATGGGGAGCCCTCCCCCCTTCCCCGGAGCAAGAAGCTATTGGTGATTCTGGTCTGATCTTCCCAGAGAGACGAGCGGACAGTCCCATAGTTCAGGGCTTGGGAGGTGGGCTGGCCACCCCCCCCCAGCTCGAATGGGAGATGCCAGTTTGGGGTTGCCTGGCCGGGGAGGCAGGAAGCGAAAGCAGCCAGGGGATTTCCAGGCACTGGGGCCGAGCAGGCGCCCCGCCTGCCTTTGACGTAGGCAGCCCTGTGGTTTACGGAAGGCTTGGGCAGGGGAAGCCCCGCCAGAGTCTCCAGGAGAGACTTCAGACACTTCAGGCAGAGCAGTTTCTGCCCCCCCCCTGCCCCTCCCAATGGGTCCAGTCAGGAATTTCCTTCATCCGACGGTTTTTGCGAGAGGCTTTTCAGAGGAATAACCGACTCGAAATCACGTTAAAATGTGCTGATTTGGCAGCAGGAACGGCCTCCAATTGCCTTGACTCGGCAAAAGCGAGCAGGGACGCGTTTGGGGCGTTTGCAAAAGGACCTGCAAATCAGGATCGGCTCTTTTTCTCTCCCCTCCACCCCCCCTGCGCCCCCTCCAGACGACTTCCTCGGCTCTCAAAGGCGCCATCCAGCTGGGCATCACCCACACGGTGGGCAGCCTCAGCACCAAGCCGGAGCGGGACGTCCTGATGCAGGACTTCTACGTGGTGGAGAGCATCTTCTTCCCGGGGTGAGCTGCTGTCACCTGCCCGCCCAGGTGAACCACAGCCGGGCCAGGCGGCCTCTGCGGCCTCTGCTGACCTCTCCTCCCTCCCTCCCTCCCCTGCAGCGAAGGCAGCAACCTGACCCCGGCCCACCACTACAACGACTTCCGCTTCAAGACCTACGCCCCCGTGGCCTTCCGCTACTTCCGGGAGCTTTTCGGCATCCGGCCCGACGACTACTTGGTGAGCGGGCTTCAGGGGCGGCGCTCGGAAGCTGCCCTGGGAAGGGCCGGACGGGGACCCCTTTGGGGGCCAGGCAGGAGAGGTCCACAGGGCTGATCTTCTCCCCCTGCCCCGCCCCCCCTCAGTGCTCCCTCTGCAGCGAGCCGCTGATCGAGCTCTCCAACTCCGGCGCCAGCGGCTCCATCTTCTACGTCTCCAGCGATGACGAGTTCATCATCAAGACCGTCCAACACAAGGAGGCCGAGTTCCTGCAGAAGCTGCTGCCGGGCTACTACATGGTGAGCGGCTGGGCGGAGGCAACCCCAGGAGACGGGGGAACCCTCTCTGCCCTCCCAAAGGGGCCCCTTCTCCATCCTTGTGGTGACCGTTGACTTGGTGGTGGCTGCTGTCCTTGGGCCACCTTCGCCTTAAGGACACCCCTCTTCTCCGCCCCTCCCCCCCTCCAGAACCTGAACCAGAACCCCCGGACGCTGCTGCCCAAGTTCTACGGCCTCTACTGCGTCCAGGCGGGGGGCAAGAACATCCGCATTGTGGTGATGAACAACCTGCTGCCCCGCTCGGTCCGGATGCACCAGAAGTACGACCTGAAGGGCTCCACCTACAAGCGCCGGGCGTCGCAGAAGGAGCGCGAGAAGGTCTTCCCCACCTACAAGGACCTGGACTTCGTGCAGGACGTCCCCGACGGGCTCTTCCTGGACGCCGACATGCACAGCGCCTTGTGCAAGACCCTGCAGAGAGACTGCCTGGTAGGCGGGGCAGCCGGGGTGAGGGTCCCGGGGTGGCAGGACAGGGTGGGTGAGATGGGGCCGTAGCTCTCCTGTTCTGCCCAGCCCCAACTTTTGAACCGGGGAGGGGGTCGGTTTCTTCTTTATTTGGAGGCTGGGGGCTTCCCAAAGCAGTCAAAGCGCTTGCCAAAAAAAACAGAGAGAAGGGAATACCGGAAATGAAGGGGCCGGGTTTTTATGAGTAGGGGGTGAGCCTTGAGACGGGGCAGGCAGGCTGGGCCGGGTTCAAAGGCAGGGAGCTGTTTAGGGGAGAGGGAGGGGAGGGGCCTCCTTGAGGAAGAGGCCGCCTGAGGTCCTTTGGGGGGGGATATTTGCGCAAAGGCCTCTTATCACTTCCTGGACCAAAGTCTGCCTTTCGTCCTCAACTCGCCTGGGCTGGGAATCTCGCCGCTTCGGAGAGTGGGGAAAGAGCGCGAAGGCAGCCCAGCCCAGAGGCCAGCAGGACCCTGGCTTAATTTGGGGGCTCCCTTTCCTCTGTTCTCCCCCTCACCCCCCCAAAAAACCCCCCCTCCCCCAGGTCCTGCAGAGCTTCAAGATCATGGATTACAGCTTGCTGGTGGCCATCCACAACCTGGACCTGGCCCAGCGGGAACGGGCAGTAGCCGACGGGGCTTCCCTGGCGGACACAAGGCGGCCGGCCGGCCAGAGGGCCCTCTACTCCACCGCCATGGAGTCCATCCAGGGAGAGGCCCGGCGGGGGGGCACCATCGAGACGGACGACCAGTAAGTGCAGTGGCAAAGAGACGGGGCCGCTCGGACAAGGCCCTGCGCCGGTTGGCGAGCGGAGCCGCGGGGCTCGGAGGAGAGACGTGGTGTCCTGGGTCGGGGTCCTCTTCCAGCCCAAGCCCCCCCACACCCACCCCATGCCTGTCTCCTCTCTCCTGCAGGATGGGCGGGATCCCATCCCGGAACGCCAAGGGGGAGAGGCTGCTCCTGTACGTGGGGATCATCGACGTGCTGCAGTCCTACAGGTAAAGCAGCCGGGCCGGATGCCTGCCTGGCTGCGCGCAGCAATTAAGGCTGACAGAGCAGCCCAGGCGGACCTGCCCGGCCGGCCCTGCCCAGTCAGAGGCTCTGCGGCTGGTGGTAGAAACAGGCCGGATGTGAATCAGGGCGGCAGGAGCCGTGGGAAGCCGCAAGCCAGCTGGGCAGAGGAGCCTGGGACGAAAGGAGGGCAGCCAGACCGAAGCAGATCCGAGCGGGAGGACAGCCCGGGCCGGGCATTGGGGGCCGATTTTAAAATTAAATTTATAACCTGCTCTCTCCCACCTTCCCCTCCAATATCTCCAGGTTTATGAAGAAGCTGGAGCACTCCTGGAAAGCCCTGGTTCACGACGGGGTAAGAGGCCGAAACGGTCGCTCCCGTCTTTGGACGGAGCAAGTGGGGGGGGGAAAGGGAGGTCTGGGGACAGATCCTCTTCCCCCTCCCGATTTCTTTTGGGGGGGTGACTTTGGCCCGCTTCCCCGCAGGACACGGTCTCCGTTCACCGGCCGAGCTTCTATGCCGAGCGATTCCAGAGGTTCATGTGTCAGGCGGTCTTCAAGAAGATCCCTCGTGAGTCCCTCCCACTTGGCAAGGGGAAGGGGGGGGTGTCTCCTTCCTGCGTGCCCCCCACCCCTTCTAATTGTAGCATTAGAGAGGCTTCCCAGCTGAGTTTGGTCTCTCTCTCTCCCCCCCCCAAGTGAAATCCTCCCCTTCCAAAAAGAGCCGCTCCGGGATGGGTCCTCCTCGTCGGCCGGGCCAAACCGGGACCCCCGCCCAGGGCCTGAGCGAGACAAGAGTCCAGGTCACGATGGAGGCCGAGATGGAGTCAGGTGGGCGCCCCTGGCCTGCAACCCTGTTTCTTCTCGTCCATATTGGGGAGGGGGCCCAAAGTCAACCCCCTCCTGGCCCGGGCGGGAAGCAAAGAGGCAGACTTGTGCCAGGCAAAGGGGTAGCTCCTCCCCTTCCCTCCCCCCCCCCAGCCAGGAGCCCTTCTAAAGCAGGAGTGTCCAACCTTGGCCACTTTGAGACCTGTGGACTTCAACTCCCAGAATCCCCCCAGCCAGCACAGTTGGAAGTCCAGAGGTCTTAAAGTGGCCAAGGTTGGATGCCCCAGCCCCTCTCTCCCCCTTCCCACCCCTGACTGGGTGGCCAGCCCTGCCCTGGGCCCAGCTAGGGTTGCTCAGCCTTCCCCCCCCTGCTCCCCTTCTCAGGTTCCCAGCTGGGGCGCCCCGACCTGCTCCCCCAGACGCCCCCCGTTGAAGAGGCCAACAGCGACTCGGCAGCGACTACCTTATCCACCTCTTCGCTGGGCAGCCCCGGGCACAGCTCGCCAGCCATCCGGTCAGTTGCTGTCCCCAAGAGGGCTCCCCAGAGGCTGGGAGGGGGTCTCTGGAGACACTGGGCTGCTTGGCCAGGACGGCCGGGGGTGGGGGGGGGAGAGTGGCCCCGTCCAGCCTGGGGCGAGGATTTCGGATAACTTGATTCGCGGGGCGCCTCGTTTTTCTGCAGATGGGCCTGGCGCTCATTCTCTTCCCCTCTTTCTCCCTTCAGCTCAGTGGGGGCAGAAGCACCCCCAGCGGACGCCCCCAAGGACCCGGCGGTGCTCCTTCTGGAAAGGTGAGAGGGGGGTGAGATTGGAGACCCCTCCCCAAAGGGCCTTTGGGTTCTCGTCCGCCTTTCTGGATCTGCAGGAGCGGCTGTGATGACTTTGCGCCAGAACAGTGTAGTTCTCTGAAAAACCCCTGGAAAGTCTGTGTGTGGGGGGGGGAGAGAAACCCTCTTTTCTGCCTTCTCCCCCCCCTCCAATTGACCGGGGGGGGTCTGTCTCTCAATCTCCACGTAGGTCAGAGAGCCGAGAGTTGGTCAGTTCAGACAAGTGGTCCTCGGAGCTAGATAGTGCAGGATGCTTTCAAGTAGGTGAGGCCGAGTCCAGGCAGGCCGGGCCCTGGGCCAAGCGAGCCCCCCGGGGCCAGGGGAGGGGCTCAGCGCTCCTGGGGGGCCCAGCCCTGCCTGCCCCACCGGCCGGAGAGGGCTGCTCCGATCCAGGGAAGCTGTGTGGCCGTGGAGGGCGCCAGGCCCCAATCTGGAACTCGGATTGCGGCTCCCAATGGCGCAGGGGTCCAACGGACCAGGAGCGAGAACAACTTTCTGTGTCTTTGTGTGTGCCTCCCCCTGGCTCACCCCTGCCCCCAAGGAGTGCCCCAAACGCTCGCCCCTGCCCCAGAGCAGCGTCAGGAGAACGGCTGTGGCTCATGGGCAGCCCGTTCCCTTGTGCCGGGGACGTGCAGGGGCAACAAGCCCCTGAAAAGACCCCTTTGGCCCAGTGAGATGGGGTTGGTGGAGGTGCCACACACACACACACACACACACACACCCCGCTCATCCTCTGCTTTCCTCCCCCCCCCCAGTGCTTCCCCCAGCCCTTCCGCCACAGGGCAGCCTTCTGAGCCGATGCAGCAGCCTGGAGATTTGGCCGAAAGCGAAATGGATTGTGTGAGTCCTCTTTCCCTCCTCCTCGGCCCCTCCCTCCCTCCTTCCCCCACCCCCCATTTGGGTGACCCTTTGGAGGGAGAGGGGACACGGGGGGCCCCCCTGAATTGGCTTGGAGCCTCCCCCCCCATCTGACTCTCCTTCCCTCTTTTCTGATTTTTTCAGTGAAGGTTCCCTGGAGTCTTTTTTTTCCCCCAGAGGGAAACTTAGCAGAAGATCTTCTCCGCACTCTGCATGGCCTGTCTCTTTGCGAGGGGGGGGGAAAGGGGGGGGACCAGCCCCCCGCCCCCTTTTGGAACTGCTGGCACCACAAACTCCTTTGAACTGAGCAGGCGGAAGCCCGGGACCCACTCGGACCTCCCAGGCGGCCCACAGCGCCCGGCTCCGGGGCGCACGTGGGATGGAGGGGGGCGCTCGGTGTCCAGCCCCCTCCAGCCTGGGCAGAGGACAGGGCGGCCCAGCCTGGCGGGGCTTCCGAGGAGAAGGGGTGTCCAGAGGAGACGGGGGGGGCCTCTTTCCAAGCCCCAGAACGACCATTCCATCCTCACTTCCTCCCGGGGGGTTGTGTGTGTGTGTGTGTGTTGAAGCCGATGCTGCCCGCTTGGAGAAGATTGCAAAGGACGAACGCTCCCCCTTAATGTTGGTTTTTCTAAAGTGTAGCCATGCTTCTTCTTTCATGAATTGCCATATCTGGGGGCTTCTTTTGCGAGGCCAGGATCCTCTCAGCCTGCCCGTATCTGGAAGGGGTGGGAGGAAGCCCTGTTTTTCAGTGCTGTATCGTGGAAGGGGGGGGGTCAGGAGCCTCCCCACGCCCGTCTCCCTGCTCCAGGACTCTCGTGGGCCTTGGCTGGTCAGCCCCACCTGCCAGGCTCGCCCAGAGTGATGGGCGCTGGAGTCCCAATGCGGCCGCTTTGCTCAATGCTGCCAAGTACAGTTTTTCAGTGTTGTACTGACGGACCAAACTGCACCACCTCCTCGCTCGCTTTGTGGCCATTGGGAGATTTCAGTATTAAAAGCCCTCTTGAGAAGCTTGTAGAACTTCACTACAGTCAGGGCTCCTTTCCCCCCCCCCCTTTCCCCCACCCCTGTTTTATAGCTCTTCCTCCATTGTGGCTATTTTTTTTTAGCAATCTATGAGAATGGTCACCCCTTAATTCTTTTGCACGTAGGGAGGGGGTGTTTATCCTCCCTTTTGAGCATTCTCACGGGTTGTGTTTGGAGAAAGCAACCCTCAACGTGGCTTTCCTTGCACCAAGCACGTTTTTGTGGCCCTAACAAAACCTCTGCAGCAGTCGGAGGAATTCTTGGCAGCGGTGGTTATTCAGGAAAGGTTTTAGTGCGTCAAAAGGAACATACCTTTGTTTTTTCCCACCCAGTTTTGGAGGGAAAGAAAGAAAGAAAGGACAGTTGTTTTCTCAGTGAGCTTTATAGATATTTTTGTGAAGAAGCATTTAACAGGAAACAGACTAGCATTCAATGTTGGCTGCCGAGAAGATGGATGAAGGGGGCCACTCAGCCCCTAAAGAAAGTGAGATCAGGGTAAATAAATTCTTATTTTTGAGAAAAGTTTGCAAGACAGCAGGGCATCTGTTACACCTCAAAGCACCAATGTATAATAAATCAATCACATGGCTGTTTGTGGATATGGGAATCCGCCTTCGTGGGTGGGGGGGAGGTCTTGTTAAATTTGAGCCTTGAATCTCCTCAAACTGTTACATACATGTTATGGAACTGTCTACATTAGACTGATTTGGAAGTTTCCTGCCACAAAAAAGTTTGTAATTTATAAACTTATATTTCAAGTCTGTTTTTGGTGCCCGTCTCTTCCCCGTGGGAGTTGTTTTCCAGACTGCAGCATCATTTTAGACTTTGGGGGTGGGGCAAACTGGGAAGTGGGGAGGCTACAGATTGGCTATTAACCTTCAGAAGAAACAACACTGGTTGTGAGAACGGACATGGCATCACAGGGGGGTGGTGGTATCTGACTTGCCCTGCATGGGTGGGATTAATGGTCACCCAAGACTTGTGAACTTCAGCTCCCAGAATTCTCCAGCCAGTTTTAAAGTGGACAAGGCTGGGGACCGCTGACCATGCAGTTCTTTACCCAGCCTCTTGGGCTTGGGAGTATATTGGCCAAACTCTGCTGGGTGAGTGGGCCTTGAGCTAGCTCAGCGGTTCTCAACCTATGGGTCGCGACCCCATTTGGGGTCGATCGACCATTTCATGGGGGTCGCCAAGCAAGGCTGTCCACCATTTTTTTCCCCCTTTTCCGGCGGGTGCCTTACCTCCCTTGGGCTGGGCCAGCTGGTGGTCGGCCTGCTCCGTCTCTGCCGCTTGCCAGCTACGCCTCGGCCGGCGCAGGGGGCGGAACCATGCATGCGCGGCGCTCCCGGGCAGGGAAAGTCCTCGACTTACGACTGGTTTGGTCCTCGACTTACGACCGGTTTGGTCCTCGACTTACGACCGGTTGGGGGTCGCGGCATTAAAAAGGTTGTGAACCACTGAGCTAGCTGGTGAAATTGGAGCATGAGGGGGGCTAATGTCCCACACACCCAATTGTAATTTGCCCCCAATTATATTCTCGCACCCCAACATCCCTCAGTTCAATGCTCCCCAGAGGCAGAGAACCTGACCAGCCAGGTCCTCTGCTGGGTCCAGCAGACAGGGCTGCAAAGGATGCAAGCTAAGCTTGCAGCAGTAGTAACTTCACACTCAGTGACCGTTTCACACCCAGTGACCTCTTAGCAGTCAGTGACTTCCCGCTCGGCTCTGCGCAGCCCGAACTGTTTTATGTTTCTTTAGATTTGTATACC